ATTTTCATATACATTTTATTAATTTTCTTTCATCTCTGACACTTCTATTATAGAGAAAGGGCAAATAGCAATATTAAAATATTTCCTCTAATTAATCCCCTTTTAATGTGCATGAATTTCATGCACCAGGCCACTAGATTCCTTATAACTTCAATAAGAAGGAGCTTTATGGAAGTTTTAATCTTTGCCAATCTGTTCTCAGATGACCCGGCAAGAACAAAGAGACTTCTAACCCAGCCCGGAACTTACACGCCTCACCACCAGGATCCATTAGGTCTGAGAAACACGGGGATGACATGACACACACCCGATCACCGATTGGCCGGTTTCATAAGGCTGACCATCCTGTTCCCGGAACCAGCAATACATACATTCATCAAGACCTAACACCCCCACAGGGGCTCCACTTCCAGGACCACAAATCACCAGAACCCCCTTTGTGCTCCTTACCCACATTCCCTTTCCCTGATTCCCCTAAAACTTACACCTAATGAGCTTAAGGGAAAGGTGAATGTTAGGGTTTTTACCCGTCACCTTCCCAGATTTGTGGCATCTGGTATTATTAAAAGCGCAAGAAAAATAAATAAATAAGTAAAGAAACCAGAAATGCTCCATTAATTTTGTACAATGTTGTACTACTTGTGGGATGCTTCTGATCTCAGTCAGTCAACTATTCATACACAATAAAAATAGAGGACATTTCTAGGGGGTGGAATCCTGGTTTACTGAGGCGATCAATTGATCATTGAAACAATTAACAATTATTCATTTGCTCAACTTCTCTCTGTTCATTCATTAGTTAAACCTGAGTTAATCATTAACCATGTGCCCAACTCCAGGTGAGGTACTGGCAACACAAAGAAGAAAAGGTGCTCTCCCTTACCTGGAGGCTTTGCAGGCATAGTCGGCTTTAACTAGAAAGAGTGAAAGTAGCTTTTAAAACTCAGTAATCGGTGTTTTCTTCATCAGCATCTATGGTCATTTCTCCCATAATTCTTTGTACCCTAAGTTTTATAACTTGATAATAATGTGGTATGATGTTAAATTATTATTATGATAATAATGCAGTTACCAGTTTCCTTACATATATATATATATTTTAAATCCTCACCTGAGGATATTTTCCCATTGATTTTTAGGGAGAGTGGAAAAGAGAGGGAAAGACAGAGGGAAATATCGATGTGAGAGAAACACATCGATTGGTTGCCTCCTGCGTGAGTCCTGACCAGGGCCCAGGCTGGGGAGGAGCCTGCAACAGAGGTATGTGCCCTTGACCAGAATCGAACCCGGGACCCTTCAGTCCGCAGGCCAACGCTCACTAGGGGTCCTTGTATACATTTTAATAATCTCATCAGGGTAGCCTTTGAACCCCAGGATACCCTGTGAAGTATGATTATTCTGATTTTACAGAGGAGGACAATGAGGCTCAGAGAGTGATTTGCCCAAAGTCACAACTACGAAGGGAGTAGTTGGGACTGGGTTTAATGCAGATATGGCTGGCTTTGACCACCTATTCTGTCAGAAACAAGCAGAAAAAGGTTGGACCAAGATTTCTGCTTCTCCTTTGAATCCTGTACCAGAGGGGTCTGGGCATACTGTGGGTGTAAATACTTTTAAAAGAAGGAAGAGGAAAGGAAAGAATCAACAGAGTAAAAAGGCAACCTATGGAATGGGAGAAAATGTTTGCTAATTATATTTGTATCTGACAAGGGGTTAATATACAGAATATATAAGTTACTAACTTCTACAACTCAACACCAACAAAACAACTTGAGAAAATGGGCAACGAATGCCCTGGCTGGTGTGGTTCAGTTGGTTGAGCATCGTCCCAAGCACTAAGAGGTCCCGGTTCAATTCCCAGTCAGAGTACATGCCCGGGTTGTGGACTCCATCCCAGATGGGGAACGTGCAGGAGGCAGCCAATGGATGTTTCTCATCGACGTTTCCCTCTCTCTCCCTCTCCCTTTCTCTCTCTCTAAAATCAATAAAAATATATTTTTTAAATGGCAATGAATTTGAAGACACATTTCTCCAAAGTAGATATACAAATGACCAGTAAACATATGAAAAGATGCTCAACATCACTAATCATTAGAGAAATGCAAATCAAAACTACAATGAGATATCACCTTACACCCATTAGGATGACCATTATTAAAACAAACAAACAAACAAACAAACATAAAATAACAATTGTTGGTGAAGGTGTGGAGAAATTGAAATAGAATTGCTATGTATTCAGTAACCACACTATGGGTATAAATCCAAAAGAACTGAAAGCAGTACCTCAAAGATATATTTGCATACCCATGTGATTGCAGCATTATTTACTAAGTCCAGAGGTGAAAGTAACCCAAAAGTCCACCAAGGGATGAATGGATAAAGAAAATCTAGTAGCCCAGCCGGCGTGGCTCAGTGGCTCAGCATCCACCTATGAGCCAAGAGGCCATGGGTTGAGGGCTCAATCCCTGGTTGGGCGTGCAGGGCGTGATGATTCTCTCTCATCATTGGTGTTTCTATCTCTCTCTCCCTCTCCCTTCCTCTTTGAAATCAAGAAAAAAAAATTTTTTTTAAAGAAAGAAAATGTAGTATATGCATAGAATAAAATATTATTCAGTCTTCAAATGAAGGGAATCCTGTCACATGCTACAGCATGGATAAATGTTGAGGGCATTACAGTAAGTGAAATACGTAAGTCACAAAAAGAATTACTGTATGATTCTAGTTATAGGAAGTATCTGAAGTAGTTAAACTAATAGAAACAGACATTTAAAGGAGGCTGCCAGGGGCTGGCGACAGGGGACAATGAAGGCATTGCTCAATAGATACGGTTTCAGTTTTTCAAGATGAAAAAATTCTAGACACCTGTTATATAGCACTGTGGTTGTAACACTTTGGAACTGGACACTTAAAAAAGGTTAAGATGGTAAAATTTATGGGTTTTTTTACCACAATTTTTTAAAAAATTGTTTTAAGAACAAAGAGGAGAACAGTCCGTGGTGCTCTCTTCACATCCGAATTTGTTTAGCTTAAAAAGAAATTTAAAAAAATCCGAGGAGCCTTGCCATCAGTTCTCCAATGACAGCGCTTCAAGAGTTGCAACCTTCCTTTTCCCACACAAGCAAAGACCTCCAGGTTCAGCCAGGTGTCGC